CTCGCAAGCTTTAATTGTATTCTAATGTCTACTTGTTTTGTTTTTATGGCAGTACTCCAGGCTTTTACTTACCCTTTTAATGTGCTCTTTTTCATCAACCCTAAGTTATGTGAGGAATCTTAAACAAATCCCTAAAATTTAGTAGTTTAACTAAAAATTTAACCCTTCAGCTAGGTATAGCATCATAACACTGCAGTATGAGGAACTGGCTACAGTGTGTAGTATATGTACTGAACATATTTTGGATGTCTAGTAGAATAGTAGTAGTATTTATGGAATGAGAGCACTGGGTTTTTGTATAACCCAGGGGTTAGGGGCACCAACCCCCCATGCAGTAGAAAATCCATGTATAACTTTTGGCTCCCCCAAAAACTTTACTAATAGCCTGCTGCTGATCTGAAGTCTGATAACATAAACAATGGATTAACACACAATTTGTATTTTTTTTTCTTCAACAAGTCGGCTGTCTCCCACCTAGGCAGGGTGACCCAAAAAGAAAGAAAATCCCCAAAACGAAAATACTTTCATCATTCAAAACTTTCACTATCACTCATAATCGCTGTCTTTGCAGAGACATTCAGATATGACAGTTTGGATCTCCCTCCAAACTGCCAATATCCCAAACACCTTTAAAGTGCAGGCATTGTATTCACTTATCTACTTTCCAGTACTGATATTTAGTTAGTAATTATTTGTTTATTTACTTATTCAGTGACAGTGGTTATTTATCATATATTCATATTCAACTGAAGATATTTTGAACTTACGGTGGGTTCATCAGAACGTAACCCCATCATAAGTCTAGGAGCATCTGTATATAGCTTTAGAAAAATGTCCAGAAAATAAGTTGCTACCCTGCAAATCTAAATGGATGTAAATAGAAGCCTGTATTAAAGAATCATTTGATTTTTTAGTGTATTCAACTAAAGGAAGTTCTAATACATTCATACTTAAAGCAATCATCTTGTTACTAGTGCTGGGAGAGTGGAGATTTAGTTGACCCAGCAGGCATTATCTACTACAGTGGCTGCTGGCTAGGGTCAGACAAACTACTATTGCCAACGTAGAACTTCTTTACACAGAGCAGGCTCCATTTGCAAGAGGAGCCTTGCTCTTCTGGGTCTCCACAATGAAGTACCTAAAACAGTAGCTTTTGTTCTAGTGTAGGTAAACATTCAAACCACTAGGGGCTGTTCAGGAAGCTTTTTAAGGATGCAGGAATCCCCTGGATTCTGATCAGGTGATATGGAGACATTAAATTTCATCTCATGGTTGCCATTGCAGTGTGGGCAAAGGCAAGATCCACAATGGTGTCAGTGCTGGCTGGTCACCCAGCTAAGTGCTGATAAACCCCCAAATACCCTGTCTGTTGATCTATGGCTCAGTGACTTCTGTCAGTGTAAAAAGGCTAGAGCAGTATACTATACTGTCACAAAAAAATATGAATTTAATAAAATACCCATAAATGCTTTCATGGATGTCCATGGTAAGTTGGCACACTGCTTGGCATAATACATGTTGCAAATCAAATTTTTCACTGTACAAAAGCTCTTCCTGCCCTTAATTTTCAATTATCCTTTAAAAAAAATTGTACATTTCCAACTCTATTTTTAGTTCGTTTGCTATTTAACTGCTTGTATTGTTACAAATGTAAGATGGAAAGGACAGACCTACATTTTAATTTTAATGATTGTGTGTGTAAAAAGATTTTTTGTCCTAAATGTGTTTACTTTCCCCAGGGAAGACAACCCAGCTCGTATGATGTTTATTCAACATCTCGTGGACGACAGAACAGAAAGCTCACACTCTTATATTGAATTCCTTCAGTTTCTCAAAACTCAAATAAAGTAGGAATTTTAATCGAATGTAAGTATGGAAGGAAGGGAAGTGCAATTTCTTTGAATTTCTAAATCTGCATCTCATTTTGAGTTATGGTATGTAGCCAATTATTTAATACTGTTCAGTGTTGAAAAAATAGCAGTTAGTGGCACTGGATTATAAAGTTGTATAAAAAAAAGGTGCATGCAGGCAGTTTCTGGGCAAGGCAGATAAAACTGAAAAATTGTTATATCCACTGATAGTTACCAAGTTTTAAGGGGATATTAGTGGTTTCATTTCTTTTATAACTACGGATCTTGAAGATTTGTAAACTGTAGGTGTTGAAGATCTGGTTTTGCATTGGACAGTTGTAATTTGATTCCTGTGGTCTGCCAATTCATTTTATAACATACCTTCATTGTATGGAGAAAAGTTTTTATGTGATCAGTAGTAGTCAAAGATTTTGAGAGACATTCTATTTTAAAGCTATCAGGTATATGTATGATAGGTTATCCTGTATACAAGTGAAAAATATCTATATTGTCTTTCTTTACTATCCAGATTGTAGATTTTGTATGTGGGTTTGCTGGTATTTTTCAAATTTTATATTTGATAGGATGCATTATATTTTAAATAGTGCAGAGAAACGCACTCATAACGCATTTTAATTAGCCAAGAGTGAAGCGAGTATTCAGAACAAACTGTCTTTGAATCCATCACCAGATACTGTTATTAAAATTCAATAGGGGCAGTTTGTTTGAATGACCTCTGCACATATGGCAATTACTTGTTTTCATAATGGATTATACATAAAATTAAACAGAAAATGTATTCAGAGTATTTGCAACTAGTCTGTTAATGTCAGGTTTTTCCTCTTCTATACTATTGGATTTTGTTAAGCTGTTTATTTTATAAACACATGTTCAACATAATGTTTGCAGTTGATTCCTGGAGCAAATTGTTAAACATTATACTATTATTTAGAAAAATTGGCATGCATAATCTCCTAGATGGCCCCCCCCCCCAAAAAAAAAAAAAAGTGTAATTATCTTATGAATTTGGCTCTCCTGTTAAGATATTTATTATACTTTTAACTTCCTAAAATGTCATCTGTAATATGAAGGGCAGCTTCAGGATCTTAATCAAAAGAACTTTGCTTAAAATTGGTATGATAGTCACAAGTTTGTACCTATTTAATGGTAATTTAGATTTTTAGATGTCACTGATAATAAGATTTTCAAAAGTTCATAAAAAATTTTTCCAACCGTCAATTATATTTAAGCTTTATTCATAAATGCAATTTATGAGAGGAAAAATAATGGTTAAATAATAAATAAGATTGTTGACAGTAAATATATATTTTTTTGTTTATAATTTGTGTACTTGTAAAATATTCCTATGCTCAATTCCTTTTCTGTAAACATGTCTTGTGTAACCTTTTCTTGGTAGTTTGTATTATACATGAACATATGTACATACACACACACACACACACACACACACACACACACACACACACACACACACACACACACACACACACAACACACACACACACACACACACACACACACACACACACCACACCACACACACACACACACACACACTGCTTTATAGCTCGAGTGGTCAAAGAAGCCTAATTTTCTTAATTTATTTTTCCATATGAATTGATATTTATATTTTAATCTTTTTAGAATTTACATAACATAATCCTGCACAGCCTATTTAGAATCAGCCTAAATTTTGTATTCAAAATTATTTGTGATCACATATTTTTGCCAAGTTATAGCAAAAATGAATATATGCTCTCCTTGTTTGGCATAACCATCCTTTCTTTATAAGCAAAGGCCACAGCGCTGTATAGCCCTTGTGGCTTAGCGCTTCTTTTTGATTATAATAATAATAAGCAAAGGCCAAAAATTCTGGCTAAAAAGCATGACATACTACTGTATATACATGCCGTTGTAGTTGCCGAAGCATTTTATATGAAGCACAGGCAAATGACTGGCTACAACTATACATAAAAATCTTTATTTTCATTGGTTGAAACTGGAACACCTCCCCCATTTGAAGCAAATTCGATAATTTTCCTTGTAAAAATATAACTCGAGAAATCCAGCTGCCTTTTAATGTCGGGAATGTATGTATTTAGTCATCTGTATATATACATATATAGATATACAAACTGTTGTAGAGCTTCCTCAGGCATGATATTTGTAGGTCTGAAGTATGGTATGGACAAATGGAAACATTTTTACACCTTTATACAAGTTGACCAAAAGGAAATATGGCATTTGAATCAGTGGTTGCAATGCATCATCAATCATGGGTTATAGCCAAACAAGAGTGAATGTGATGTCTGGCTGTAAATTGTTGTAAATAAACCCAATTCTTTTAGTTTTATATACACATATTAGCCCATTCCTGGAATAACCACTGCAAAGGACAGTTGTATAATTATTTTGTTCTAAGTATTCTATCAGGTTCATTGTAAGGGCCACACATTTTTCCAAGATAGGTCTGCACAACTGTTGCCTGATGTACATTTTCAAATTTGAGTAAGGCAGTGATGGCATAATTTTATATACATATATATTATATAATTATATAATATATATTATATACTTGCAGATGTTGCAAGTATATGAAATAGGTGGTAAGTTACTAAATGCTGTAAAGAGTTTTTATGAGGATAGTGAGGCTCAGGTTAGGGTGTGTAGAAGAGAGGGAGAATACTTCCCGGTAAAAGTAGGTCTTAGACAGGGATGTGTAATGTCACCATGGTTGTTTAATATATTTATAGATGGGGTCGTAAAAGAAGTAAATGCTAGGGTGTTCGGGAGAGGGGTGGGATTAAATTATGGGAAATCAAATACAAAATGGGAATTGACTCGGTTACTTTTTGCTGATACTGTGCTTATGGGAGATTCTAAAGAAAACTTGCAAAGGTTAGTGGATGAGTTTGGGAGTGTGTGTAAAGGTAGAAAGTTGAAAGTGAACATAGAAAAGAGTAAGGTGATGAGGGTATCAAATGATTTAGATAAAGAAAAATTGGATATCAAATTGGGGAGGAGGAGTATGGAAGAAGTGAATGTTTTCAGATACTTGGGAGTTGACGTGTCGGCGGATGGATTTATGAAGGATGAGGTTAATCATAGAATTGATGAAGGAAAAAAGGCGAGTGGTGCGTTGAGGTATATGTGGAGTCAAAAAACATTATCTATGGAGGCAAAGAAGGGAATGTATGAAAGTATAGTAGTACCAACACTCTTATATAGGTGTGAAGCTTGGGTTGTGAATGCAGCAGCAAGGAGGTGGTTGGAGGCAGTGGAGATGTCCTGTCTAAGGGCAATGTGTGGTGTAAATATTATGCAGAAAATTCGGAGTGTGGAAATTAGAAGGTGTGGAGTTAATAAAAGTATTAGTCAGAGGGCTGAAGAGGGGTTGTTGAGGTGGTTCGGTCATTTAGAGAGAATGGATCAAAGTAGAATGACATGGAAAGCATATAAATCTATAGGGGAAGGAAAGAGGGGTAGGGGTCGTCCTCGAAAGGGTTGGAAAGAGGGGGTAAAGGAGGTTTTGTGGGTGAGGGGCTTGGACTTCCAGCAAGCCTGCATGAGCGTGTTAGATAGGAGTGAATGGAGACGAATGATACTTGGGACCTGACGATCTGTTGGAGTGTGAGCAGGGTAATATTTAGTGAAGGGATTCAGGGAAACCGGTTATTTTCATATAGTCGGACTTAGAGTCCTGGAAATGGGAAGTACAATGCCTGCACTTTAAAGGAGGGGTTTGGGATATTGGCAGTTTGGAGGGATATGTTGTGTATCTTTATACGTATATGCTTCTAAACTGTTGTATTCTGAGCACCTCTGCAAAAGCAGTGATAATGTGTGAGTGTGTTGAAAGTGTTGAATGATGAAAGTATTTTCTTTTTGGGGATTTTCTTTCTTTTTTGGGTCACCCTGCCTCGGTGGGAGACTACCGACTTGTTGGAAAAAAAAAATTATATATATATAATATATACACACACACAATATTTACTATATATTTTTATTGCAAAGAATGATGGACATCATTTCTTTTTTTAATACTACATATTAAACAGAGTACAGTAATCCATATCAATGCAAATATAAAATGTTTTGTTTAACAGATTAGTGATTTATCTAGAGATCACACTTTCTGGGAAGCCAGTCACATTGTACCGTCTTGGGATTTCATGCTCTGTGTCAGCCCTGTCAAAGAGTATTTCGCCAGGGTGATGAAACCTGAATAAATGTTGCTGCAATGTGTTTCCATGCATGGAGGCTTGTGTGTACCTTGGCAGTGTACACAAACTGTTCTCAAGGTGGACTCTTGCTTCTTTCATGGTTACTTCCATACATCTTAACCTTTGGGGCTGTTAGTATATGTATATTTTCTAGTTAGGCCTTGTTGTGGAAGGAGCATTTTTTTTTTTAAATCATCCTTGTGCTCTGTGGCGAGCTGGAAAACCATTGTGTGAAGTAATGCTGTTTTGCTTAGTCCATTTAGACTTCTGAATGTGGCACTGGTTGAAATAAGAGGGATCTCTGAATAATGAAGGCAATGAGGACAGTTATGATTGACTATGTAAACAGATGGCTAAATATCTAGTAGTTACAGAATTGAAAAATTAGCTGTACTCACTGATTTGCTAAATAGACAATTGGTGGCAGGCATAAGTTTGGTGATGTATGAGTATTCAAGAAGTACATGGGGTAAGCATCAGTGGAACCCAAGCCATTCCAGATGACTTGTATACAGGATTTAGTTGCTGGAGGATGATGCTGTTGGCTCAGGTACAGACGATAAGTACAGGGCCTAATCTTAACAGGAGTTTTACGAAGGCCACGTTGCAGTAAGAATCTGCTAAATAACCATGCTTGGTACTATTGTTTTAAAAAAATGTTTGCTTTTTGACTTGTCAAAGTTTTAAGAACAATATAAAGCATGGTTGTCTAGCATATTTTAACTTCAACTTGGTATTAGTAAAATTGTCTTAAGTAATCCTGTGTGTAACTTGACCCCCCAACTTGGGAGCATCCTCTCATATTATGTGGCAGTGTTGACGTATATATAGTCCGGCTGTGCTCTTGCGTTCACAAAATGCGGAGTTCATGAAGGTTTTTCAGTGCTGCATGACGGCACAAAGGTGTAGCTGGAGTCATGGTGAAAAAATTGGCTGACACTCTTCGTTAATGGGTGGCACTTTGCAACACAACTCCCATTGCTCATAGTGCAATAGGCACCAAATGGTATTTCCAAAGAATGACAACACAAGGATGGCCAGATAACCAAAGTGGCTGGAAAATAGTTTGTGGGTTATAAATTGGCCAACCATTGATTGTGCAAGGTAGTAGTCAGTTCCTTCAAATCTCCCTTCCCTGTTCTTAGGGCAATCCTTGTAGGACAGTTAAATTTATTGTCATAGTTTTCAGTCTCATGGATTTACAAAACCTGGTATGCATTTTGTAATGTGATTGTAATAATGGGGGTTTGCCCCCATTACCCAGGAAATTTAGCTGATTTTTATTATTATTATTATTATTAAGGGGGAAGCGCTAAACCCGGGGGATTATACAGCGCCTGGGGGGGGGGGGTTGTGGAAGGCATTCAGGCTTAATTTGGGGAACTGGAGCACAGATCCAATTCCCTAAATCAAGAGCCCTCACCAACATCAAGGAACCTTCCTTGAGGGGGGTGATTTGTAGCTTTTGATGTGGATTGGATTTTGTAATCCTTTTGATGTGGATTGGATGTTGTAATCCTTTTGGTTCTAAACTATAAAACTGAATAGATAGAAATTGACTGGTTTTAGTATTCAAAACATGAAAGGATTTCTTTGTACAATCAGCAGGGAATGGAGGTTGCCATTATTTTTTTTAGTGGTAATTAGAACAGTGGAATAAAATACAGCAATAAGATACCACTAGAAAGATGGGGCAATGTCATATCTACAAAGTTTATAAAGGTTTTAAACCAGTCACCTTATTTATATACCAAAGAAAGATTTAGTCTTTTATTATGTAACAAATGGGATCATTTTAAAGGCAATTTCACTTAATAACAGTATAGTAATTTATTCTGGATTAACATTTAAATGGTCATTGGCGTAGTTTTTGCAACACCTATGTATATAAACGATTTCCTGTACATCTTTTACAAAATTAGGATAGAAAATATAAAAAAGTTATGGTTATAAGCCAACAAAGCCGTGTGGTCAAGTTCACTCATTCGTGTAACGGACATCCTGAGAGAAGCTGCAGCCAGATCTCTGAATGATCTCTGTTGCTGCCCAAATTCCGCATTTGATGCAAGCCTCTATTGTCTTGCCTTGAATCAACTGTGCCATGAAACCTGAAGATAATAGAGGCTTTGTTATTTTATTCATGTATGAGCACTAAACAAAAGTCATGTAGTGCTTGGGAGGCAGTCAAAATCAGAGGAAGAGGAGCAGGTAAAAAAATTTATGGTTCCTTGAATCAAATTATATTATTATAATAAAGAAGCGCTAAGCCTCCTTGAATCAAAGATGACTGCCTCTCATTCTTCATGGATTGTATGACCCCTAACAGTTTGGGTTTTACTTGTAAATTATAATCTGCAATTATGAAAAAGGTGCAAGAGGTATAATACTTGGAAAATAATGGTTTTATGAAAGCTGATATGCAGTTTATATATCTAAGGAACTGGGCTTAAACTTGCATTCTTTGGATCAAGTCTGTAGGTCTCCCAGCTATTGTATGATCCTTGGTAGTTTAACACACTTCCCTGTGGTTAAAATTAATGAAATATGGGCTGTACTTATGAGCAAGCGACAACTGTCAGTTGTACTATCTTTTTTCCCTATCAAGGAAGGTGCCATGATGGGGGGGGGGGGGGTGCCTCCTAATCCAAGAAACGATTTTAAGTGCTAAACCCTTGAGGGTCCAAGGAATGCATTATCCTTACTTTCCTTGGGCTGTATAAGCCTAGTGGGTTTAGCACTTTGGTCTGATCCAAGGAAACTTATCAAAACCAACTGATTTCCACTATGCATTATATGACTAACATGGGTTTAGTTATTTGAATGGGGGGGGGGGGAAGAGAGCATGAGCAGTGTTAGTATATTGTATGCTATAAATTCAGAGCTAAACAACTCTGTTAAAACACCAGGGATGCAAAATAATTCATAAGTTGGGGGAGGGAGCCTATATATTTATATGATGCAGTTTCAATCCCAAACCTGATTGCCTCCTATTCTCCAAGAACTGCATTACCCCTGAGTTTACAGTATTATATTTAGGGGGAAACTGCTAGTGTTATTTGTTTTCACAACTTAAGAAGCTTATTTTTGTATCATTATTATTATTATTATAATCAAGGGGAAGCGCTAAACCCGTAGGATTATACAGCGCCTGGGAGGGATGTGGAAGGGATTCAGGGGTTAATTCGGGGAACTGGAGCACAGATCCAATTCCCTAAATCAAGAGCCCCTCACCAACATCAAGGAACCTTCCCTGAGGGGTTTTTGTATCAGATTCAAAGAAAACCATTTATCAGACATAAACCCTTTCAATGTCTCCTATGCTGATTGTTACTGACACCAATAAGCTTAACACTTGGTTTTGATTGTAATACTACTGATGCCAGTGTCGTTCACGTAGATCTACATTTTAAGCACACCACCCTCAAATATGCAGCAAGATATAAAATTTGGCCTAAACATGAGATAATGGGTCTGCAGTGCATTGTGTAGCAGCAGCAAAAAAAAAAAAAAAAAAAAAAAACCTAGTGATATATACGTGAATCTGTAGTGTCACACCAGAAATATTTTGAAATAGGCCTCTTGGAAATTTTATTTTTAGTGATTCCTGAGGAAGGGTTGGGACCCCCTGGTCTGTTGAATGGGTTTTTACTATCTCCAATTGTATCGAGTAGACCTAAACCATGACCAATCATTCTTGGTCATATTTTTATCAGAGAAATGGGTAAAAAAAAGAGCAAGTGGTATATAGAAGGGGCCTGGGGACATGATTAATGAACAGGGGAAAGAATGATTTAGTGGCTGGAATACCTACTGGGATTAAGTGCACAACTGGCCAAGTACTGTGCACTTTGTAGGGTAGGTCTGATAGTTGAATGTACAGTTTCTTCCTCTCAATCAATAAAACTGAAGGCATATTAGTGAAATAACTAGGGAGTGGTCAAACTGAGGAATAGGACAAAGTGAGCAAAATTGTCAGTGCATTAACTTTGTCACTGTAATTCTACAGATTTTCCATCAAATTTAGCATTTTTGGTGTTGCCCTGTTCTGAAATGTGGAGATTTTTTTTACTACAACAACAATGGCACTTTATTTTTGGGTGTCAAGAGTGAAAGGGTTAAGCTCAGTGGTGTAGCCAGGTTCTAAAGTTATGGGG